AAAAACCAAAAAAAAAAAAAAAAAAAAAAAAAAAAAAAAAAAAAAAAGAATTGAAAAGTAAGGGAGACAAAGGTCCCACTTGTCTGGGAGGGGTGGGAATGTACTTGACAAATGAAGATCAAAGACCCTAGATTTGAGCCTTCCCTTGCACCCTTTACCCAAAACTGCATTCATGAATTTGTGGTAGCTGAGTGGATCTAAGAATGTTTCTGGCTCACACTTGGCTTTGGCTTTCTGGACCTGGAGACAAGGATGTTCTGCTTTAATGCTAGGGCATACTGTCACTGTTTACCAATGAAGCTGGAGGCATCCTAGATGACTTGATCGTGACCAATACTTCGGAGGGGCACCTGTATGTAGTGTCCAATGCTGGCTGCTGGGACAAGGACTTAGCTCTCATGCAGGTATAGTTGCTTTTGTTTTGTTTTTTCCAGACAGGGTTTCTCTGTGTTAACAGCCCTAGCTGTCCTGGAACTTGCTCTGTAGACCAGGCTGGCTGTGGCTGCGAACTCACAGAGTCCACCTGCTTCTCTCTGCTTCTTAAGTGCTGGGATTAAAGGCGTGTGCCGCCCCTGCCTGGCCCTACAGCTGCCTTTTATTCTAGGTCTTTTATATTTTTTGTTCATAAAGCAGTGCCCAGTGCAGATAGGGGCTCAGAAAATGACTCTTAGTACAAGAACAGCCAATAGACTGAAGAGTAGGCACTCCATGTGTGCATCAGGGTTTGGGGATAGAGACTAGCAGAGGTGGGGAGGGGTGCTGGAGAGATGGCTCAGTGGTTAAGAGCATTGCCTGCTCTTCCAAGGGTCCTGAGTTCAATTCCCAGCAACCACATGGTGGCTCACAACCATCTGTAATGAGATCTGGTGCCCTCTTCTGGCCTGCAGCACACATGCAGGGAAAACTCTGTATACATAATTAATAAATAAATAAAAAAAATCATCATGTTAAAAAAAATATTAAGAAAAAAAAGCTGACCCTGGCCCTGAAATGATCATCCTCTATGATGTAAGTGAGGTGTCAGACGTGGGCTTAGGTCCTCCTTACCAGTTAGCAGCTACGTGAATTTTAAGATGGGAATCAGCCTGCTATCAGCCTGCCCAGTTCTGCAGTGTCCGACCCAGAGTAGGTGCTCAGTAATGGTTTTAGACGCTGATGTGCTTCTGGTTTTCATTTCAGGACAAGGTCAAGGAGTTCCAGAACAGGGGCAGTGATGTAGGCCTGGAGGTGATAGATAATGCCCTGTTAGCTCTGCAAGGTGAGCGGGCCAGGTTGGGGCTAGAACCAGCACTTGCCTTCCTGCCTTTTTTTGCTGCTTAGCATGGATGCTTTCTCGAGAGAAAGGTATGGATGCTATCCCGAGAGGAAGGTATGGATGCTTCCTCGAGAAGAAGGTATGGATGCTGTGATAGCTGTATGCCATAATTCCAAAGTTAAGTATCTTTCCTCTCTGCAAAGCTGTCCAAGGGTTGGAGCAAGGGCATCCTTTTCTGTTTTGCTGAGTTAGACTTGCTTGGGACCTGTTCTGCTTCCTAAGTAAAGGCTGTAGTACAGGAAGTGCTGGGTCCAAGACCCTTGTTATTCTTTTTTGGGCTCAGGACCTGCTGCAGCACAAGTGCTACAGGCTGGTGTGACAGATGATTTGAGGAAACTGCCCTTCATGACCAGTGCTGTGATGGAGGTGTTTGGTGTGGCTGGCTGTCGCGTGACCCGCTGTGGCTACACAGGAGAAGATGGTGTGGAGGTATGTTGAGAAGTAACTATTCCCTATGGGGTCTCATGCCTGTAATCCCAGTACTTATGGAGACAGAAGCAGGAACATTTTAGTTCATGATGGTCTGGGTTTCCATAGTGAGTTCCAGGCTAAGCAAGGCTACATAGTGAGAGCCTATCTCAAAGAAAAAAAAGCCAAATTAAACCCCAAAACAAAAAATACAGTTGTAAAGTTTGGCAGAGGGTGGCACATGCCTATAACCCCAACACCCAGGAAGTAGAGACAGGAGAATCATAAGTTAGAGGCCAGGCTGAGCTGCCTGTCTCAGAGGGATGAGAGTAGGGGAAATGGAGAATGTCACTCTTTGTACAGGAGCGTTTCACTTCTGTACAACCAAAAGTGGTTACAGGATTCAAGGCTCAGGGGGTAACTGCCCACCTGCTCTCTTGTCCTTTGTGCAGATCTCAGTGCCAGCAGTAGGGGCAGTCCACTTGGCAACTGCTCTGCTGAAAAACCCAGAGGTGAAGCTGGCAGGACTAGCAGCTAGAGATAGCCTGCGCCTGGAGGCAGGCCTCTGTCTGTATGGGAATGACATTGATGAACATACTACACCTGTGGAGGGCAGCCTCGGCTGGACACTGGGTGAGCTGGGCTAGCACTGAAGGGGTCCTGAAGATTAGAGTATCTTTTAATGAGATCAGCAAGTCCATAACTACTCCTAAGGTTGTATATACTGCAACAAGTAACTCAGCTTTGCTGGGCCTTCATTCCCTGAAGGTGCTACTGTGGTTTTGCCTTTTAGAAACTGAGGACCCTAAGTATGGCTTCCAGGGGGTAGGAGATAATTGATTGACTGACTGTAGTGCAGGGGAAGAATAGAGCCCAAGTGATGCTAAATGACATCACTGGGGGCCTTCGTAGTAAAGGATTCCTGTGTCCAGGACTTATGTGCAGCTTACATCTGGTGTGTTCCTTTCCAGGGAAGCGGCGCCGAACTGCTATGGACTTCCCAGGAGCCAAAATCATTGTGCCCCAGCTGAAGGGCGAGGTGCAGAAGAGACGTGTGGGGTTGATATGTGAAGGGGCTCCAATGAGAGCTCACAGCCCTATCCTGAGCACAGAAGGCACTGTGATTGGTAAGTGGTCCAGGAGGGGACATTGGCTGGCAGGGTATCCAAGGTAGGGATATTGGGCTGGCAGGGTTGTGTTAACCTATGGCTTATGCCTGGACAGGCACAGTGACCAGTGGCTGCCCTTCACCCAGCCTGAAGAAGAATGTGGCAATGGGATATGTGCCATTCAAATACAGTCGGCCAGGGACACAGCTGCTGGTGGAGGTTCGGCGGAAGCAACAAATGACAGTGGTTAGCAAAATGCCCTTTGTGCCCACGAACTACTACACTCTCAAGTGAAGATGACCCATGGGAAAGCAGTTCCCTCCAGGAGTCTTGCCCTAGAAGGCATTCTACAGTGCTTAGTCAGGACAGAAGTAGAACTCACAGGGGAGGGTGGAAGCTGAATGTGGTCTGATTAGGGTGGGGAGAGCATCCCATCTATTCTCCTTCCCCACCAAGCTATCCTAACTTTAGGGCCTGATTTTTAAATGACAAATCACCTTACTTAATGTCCTATTTTAGTCTGCAATCCCACTAACCTTATTCTGCCAGGGGCTGGCCAGAGAACAAATGTCTGCCTTTGTGTGGAGGATACCTGCCCAACCTACCTCACGATGGTTTCTCTAATTTCAAAGGGCTATTACTGTGGGCAGTGTGAGCTTAGGTGCCTTCCACTTTGCTCTCCATGAATGCATACTCTGCCTTTCCTCGGATAAAAATGACTCCTGACTCAGTGTCGGGTGAGTTGTTCCTGTGTGCAAACTTAGGGATGGTTAAGCAAACACAGACTCACCCTTCCACATTCCCTAGTCAACTCAACCTGCTGTGCAGCAGCAAGACATGGTAGATTGGGTACTTGTTGTGAATAACTATTTTACTAACTCTTGAAAAAAAATTAAAGTTTCCTTCTGGGGCTGGAGAGAGGGCTCAGTGGTTAAGAGCACATGCTGTTCTTCCAGAGGACCCAGGTTCAATTCCCAGCACCCACACAACAGCTCACAACTGTCTGTGATCCAGCTCAAGGTGATTTGACACCCTCACACAGATATGAATGCATGCAAAACACCAATGCACACAAAAATAAATAAGAAAATTTTCTTTCTTCCTACTTGCCATGGTCTCTAGCTTTATTGTTCCCTTGTTCACTGGGTTCCTGGGGTGCGAACCTAATGCCTGTCTTCTTGGCCTCCAACACAGGTTCTGAGTAAGCTCTCCTTGAAAGAGGCCACATATATATATATAAACTAACAGGGATATAGACGTGGTGTGGTGGCATCCCCTTTTAATCCAGGACTTGTGAGTTGGGGACAAAAGTGTTGGGAGTTCAGGGTCATCCTCGGCAATATGTTGAATCAAAGGCCAGCTTGGACAACATGAAACACTAACTCAACTCTCTCTATCCCTCCCACTCCCACATCCCCAAACCTAATGGGGATATTATCCCTGGTAGGCAATCTACCACCACTCTAGGGAGCTGGCATCAGTTCTCCACCTCTGCAAATTACTGAATTTTGGATCCTGAGGGCAACACACCCATGATCCCTTACTGGTTGCCCGTGTGCACACACCCTTGCTCGGTTGGAATAACCACACGACTGATGCACTTCTCTGTTTAATATGCCACATCTTCAGTTGCTCCTGTAGGGATGTCAGGGGGTGGACCTGAGACTGTGAAGAACATCTTTCTGCCATACAGATGCATCACTGGAGTAGGTACTTGTGCATGAGGAGTTCAGTACAGTTTCATTTATAGTACACCTGCTACAAAGTCTTTGTAGACAAAGGCTGCCAGAAGCCTATGTGACATCTAACAAAGAGACAGTGGGACACCTGAGGTAGCCAGTGGCCCAGCAGAGACAGGAAGAAATACAACCACTAGAGGAGATAGATCCAGGGCCACAATGCTTTTAGGAATTATAGTGTTCTCAGGAAGTGGTGTTTCCCTGGGGACATTTGCCATCCACCCCTTTAGAACCTCTTCTGACCCACTGTGAAGGGCCCAGGGCTATCTGGCTAGTGGCTCACTCTTACTGATATTTTTAGGGGCTGAAAAGATACTAGCAGGCTCTTAGGATGAACCCTTGTCCAGATGGGAAGTGATAAGGCTGCAGGGCACAATGAAGTCATTGCACTAACTGCTTAGTACCTCCCTAGGAGGTGACAAGGTACAAACCAAAACACCCCATGGGCACTTAAGCAGGGGAGCTAGTAATCAATACCAGGGACTCTAGGGGCACTCAGTGCCTCTCAGGTACTCAGCTTGCCCTCAAAGAACAGAGAAACAGGTCAGCTGGGAAAGGATAACTTCCTCTGCCTGCCTCTGACCTGAAAGACTGACTGGGCCAGGGAGGTCCATGTTTGGTGCTCTGGTCCAGGCCAGGATTACCTGGCTTTTTGCCTACAAAGCAAAGCCAAGGAAATCAAGGCTTAGGGGAGAACAGACTTCCCTCATAAATCTCAGAACTGGTTAACCTCAAGATTCCTCTTAGAAAGATAAATCTCTGTAAGATCATGCCCTAAGGGAATGAAGAGGACAGGAAAAAGACAAGGTGAAAAAGGGACTGCTGACCTTCCCAACCAAGATGCTTCCCAGCTCTAACCCTTGACAGAAGTCTTAGGGCAAGACACATGGTAGAGACAAACTTCACCTGCCTGGTACCTGGAGCTGTCGGAGGCAAGCCTGAAGGCAACAGAGGCTCACCCTGCAAGTACTGTGGTACTCCAGTCCCCCAACCCCAAGCCCTCTGCAGTTTTCCAAGGGGTCTGGGCAGCAGCAGGATGCAGCCTAGGAGACAGCAGACCCAGTGGTGTCTCTGGAGACCCTTCTGCTGTTGCCTTCCCTTATTCTCTGTGGGTTTTGAGAGGTTCATTTGCTGCCATTTCCCTGAAAGTAATGGAGAGAAGCAAGGTTACTTCATGGATAGCAGAATAGTCTATCCACGAATACTTGCCATTAAGCAGGCAGTTATAAATGCTAATGAGATCAGGCCGCTGTATTGCTCCATGGTCCCCCTATGCTCTTGTGTTCCAAGTTCACCATCACAGCCTCCTCTAGTCTCCTAATATGTCACATTTGTCCTAGTTAGTGAGCCTGTTTAGCTATTTTTTCCCCTTATCCAGTGTTCTACTCTCTCTTTGGTCTCAGTTTAGGTGTCATGGGGGTGGTCCCTGAGCCCCTTTGCATTTGTACTTACTTCCCCTCTAAACCTCTTGCTTCCACTGTAAGCAGAGTCTGGGTTGTCCTTGTTTTCTTGGCCCTGCTGTGACCTCTGTCATATGGTAGAAGCTCAGAGATTGGCTGAACGAAATGTCTTGATAAGTAAGCTGTTTTTTCAGAGATTAGGAGGCTGACTTGATGAGGCAGTGTGCTAAGAATAGAGGCTGTTAGGCTGGGTGGGGGTTATAGCTTCAATGGTACAGTACTTGCCTAGAATAGATGCTCTTGCTTTCCTAATGAAGGACTTCCCAACAAAGGGAATCATTTCCAATAGACCTGCCACTTCATCTTTCTAAAATTATGGTAACACCCCCATCCATCCCCACTGAATATGCTGATAAGAGGCTCTCTGGGCACTGGTAAACGCCCAACTCCAATCCTGAGAATTGGGTTCTTGCAAAGGCCACTCACTAAGCTAGGGCACTGGCATCCTGAGAATTCTCTTCCCTGTTACCAGTACTGGAGTGTCCCCTGACTGCCAAGCATGGGGTTGGGATAGAGATTTACTCACCATGAAGGGAAATGTGTGGAGCCATCAGGTGTGGATCCATTCTGGCCACTCAGACCTGGAGGCAGGAACACACCCAGAGCTGCAGGAGGCTGAGGGTGGGGCTCTGAGCAGGTCAAGTCAGGGACCACCAGTATAGTTTAAGGGATTGGGGCTGGGATGCTAGGGACTAGGCACTGTCTGGTAAGGGTTTTTGAGAAACAGTTACAACGTGATGATGGACAGGTGGGGATTCTAGTGTAAAATGGTATGGGGGTGTAAGTCTGGATACAACGAGGCTTCTGAGGGACCAGTGGCAGTCTACCCGGACACAGAAGAAACAAGTGATACAGCTTGGTGGTGGTAGGGGCAGCCAGGCCAAGGAGGTTCGTAGGGAGCCTCACCTGGACGGTGATACAACCCGGTCACTGTGTTCCCGTAGAACCCCCACGCCAGCTGGATGCCCAGGAGACTTAACACCAACCACAGCAAGAGCAGCTTGAAGAGAGTCACTCGCATGTCCTGTGTCTCCCACTCCCGCAGGAACTCGCTGCCCAAGGTGCCCAGCGCTCCGAGCACCGTAGCGGGCAGAGCTTGCAAAAACTGCCCAGACCAAGGTTCCGCCATGACTGGCCAGCGCCCCACCGGGTGTACTGTCACCGAGGTTCTCACTGCGCAAGCGTCTTATCTTCCGGGATTACGCTTGTAGGTGCGCACGCGTACTCTCAGGCAAGGAAGATCTACTTCGCTTGCGCGAAGTGTTGGCAGTTTGGGGCAGGGCTTTAAAACCGCGCAGGCGCACCCATCCCCACCCAGCTTACTTAAAGGGTGAGTGATTCGCTAAGTATAAAATAGCAACTCGGTCTTTTATAGCCCCGAGTTTCCCGTGATGCTCCGCGCGGCTGTGATGATTGGTTAAGCGTCTTGCTTTTAGGGCGTGGTTGCGCTCTTGAGCAATCGTGGACGAACTGCGAGTGTGCGCGCGTGCGCGGGGCCGCGACTGGCGCCAGCTCGAGCCCGCAGGGCGCTCGGGGGCGCGCACGTCGCTCCCCGCCCTCCCGCCACCGCCCGCCCTCGTTCGCTCGCGCTCCCCGCCCGCCGCCCGCGGTCCTCCGTCGGTTCTCTCGTTAGTCCGCCGTCTCCCGCGGAGCTGCCGGTCTTCGTCTCCGAGCTTGCGGACTCGCGGACAGGCGTCCTCAGCGCGAAGAGGCCGGACTCGGAGTCGTCGCCTTGAGGTGAGCAGGAGCATTCCCTCCAGCCGCCTGGGCTCCGGGCCCGACCAGCCGGCACTTTTCCGGCCACCCGCCCGTCGCCTGGTCGCGATCGCACCCCACCTGCTGCTCTCGGCCGGCAGCCCCTGGCCCCGGCCCCTGACCTGGGGCCCCGCGCCCGAGGCGGCGGCCCCGCCCGCGCAGTCCCCGGAAGCGCGCCCCGCCGCCTCCAGTCCCCCTTCCCCCGCCCGGCCGGGCCTGGTGGAGCCCTAGCCGCCCGCCCTCCCCGTCGCTTCCTCTCAGGGCTGCGCCGGGCTGGGCGGGGGCTCTCGGCCGGCCCGCGACCGCGCTGGGGGTAGCCTGCCACTGTGAAGCGCGCGTGGCTGTCGGGAGTTGGAATAGGCAAGAAACTCTTTTACAACTCCATTTTGCCTTTTACATTTTATGTGGATCATTAATCACCGTTTTATACCGGGTGAGGACAGTAAGGCTTTGGGTGGATTTTCTGTTTTCAGTGCCGTATTTCTTAGAGATTGTGTAAGTAAAAGATTGTTTTGAAATCTTAGCGGTTAAGACTGTATGGGGGAAGGTATTTTCCAGTTGAAAAAACATTTTAAAAATTATTTGGAGAGGTTGCATCAAAATAGATGCATTTCTACTTAAAGTTACTACTAATTAAGAATCACTTACTGATGGGTTCTCTTTTCAGGTCGTTTTCATGAAATTGCACTTTCTGCACCCAAGTAGAGTTGAAGTTTGTTTTTTTAATTCATGTTCAGTAACATGAAGTGGAAAATTGGGACCAATTTTTTTGTTGTTGTTCCAGAATTGGTTCCACTTTTATTTTCTAATAGTCCTGAGAATTTTATCCTCTTGGTTATTCATTTGGTTCTTTCTGTCGTCTGACATTCTTTTGAAATAAGTGGTTATATATAACCAGTTTATAGTCGCCTGACAAACCTGGAGGGGGGAAAGCACATACTTTCAGGTGTTGAATGTGGTGGGAATTTTCAACCATTTAGTGTCACATGCCCAAATGTGTATGTCCATGTGGATGGCTTTTCACCTTCCACATGGCTAGTTTGGTGGTGATACTGTTTTGAGCTTTTAACCCAAGTATCATTGTTAATTAAAAAATACAAGGGTAGGTCTCACTAATGAAGTCTCTCAGAGAAGTTGTTTTGAGGATTTGT